ACATTAGCTGGAGAGGCTGTAATACAATACACAAGTGACATTCTGTATGCTCGCACAGTCATCGGGTGAACATGCAAAGCAATCTCCCAGGACATATCTATCTATCTATATCTCTTACAAAGCTAATCCCCACTACATGTCTATTTCAACATGCAAGTCATCCACATAAATCTTCACTAACTATCCATATTATCTCTCACTAATAGTCATGCCATCCCACTAACTTCCAATCTCTTAATCGCAAGCTATTCACATCATCTCCACTTAATTTCATTCCAAATTTTTCATAATCCCAGCAACGTGCTGGGTATCTTCTAGTTATTATGTTCTTCAAATCCCATCTTTAAGTTCTTGAGTAGTGCTGGGGTGTACAATTGGGGATTTTTGAAGTGGTATGGATGAAATCATATGGGATAATAAAAGGAATCATGATTATGTCGTAGCACATCTTTGTTGTTGGCTGATCATATTCAAGGTGAATTCTGTCGATTAAATTAGCACCTGATATCTCTATTCTCTAGCTTGTAGATACTTTTGACAAAATTTATAGTTTTTTTCTCCATGGTCCATGGTCCAGTTTGGACATAAATATAACTCCTTATACATGAGCTGTCTGGTTTTTCCTTTAGTTGTGGAACTATTTTTTTTTTCTTTTCAGAATTTCTTCAATGGAATTAGTACAGCAGTTTACTTTCAGTCATGAAATACGAGGCTGTGTATTTGACCTGTATTATACAGTACATGGTTGGATCACTTACTATTTGGTCTGCATTGCTTAGTTCAAATTGTGGTATCCTTAGAATTTAGCAGTTATATATTTCTCTGTATTTAGCTTCTTCCTTGAAGCTGGTTAGATGGACCATAGATATTGGCTCAGTCCTAGATGATACATATGGGAATGTCGAATGTAGTTTACTTATATTAGGTGGAGAAGGTTCAGGACAGCACAGTGAAATGCAGCCCATTATACTCTTGCATATCTGGAAAGGATTAGTTGTGTTCGCTAAATTGTTAACTAAATGTCCCCTTTTTGCGCCAGTCACGTATAGATCGGTTTATGCAATTACATATTTTTAGCGATTAGCATTAAAATATTGATTAAAAAGGATTAAAATTAAAAAATATTGTCTCGCACGTAGGGCTGCGCCGGACGATGGATCAGGAGCCGTAGACCCGCTCTCTACCCGTAGCCTGATGTAGCGCTGCCTCCACCGCCACGGTGGCTGCACCATGTCGCGAGCTCACGGCCGCCGGAGCTTCTTCTCCGCGGCAGCGTCCAGAGAAGCTTCATCGGGGCTTCCCGAGTTCCTCCTCCGCCTTCTCTGCGACTGCGAGTGACAGCGCATCAGGGCGAGAGAGGAGAGGTGGCACGAGATCAGGCAGCTGCCGGAGGGAGGGGAGGAGGGGGTCAGGGCCTCAGGGGGCGCAGCCGTGGGAGGCAGATTGGGGGCCGGGGGGCGGTGCTGACAAGTGTGCAAAAAAAGCACTGTTAGTAGCCTTTAATCTATCCATTTTTTTAATCAGTGTTAACGTAATTGCCAACTTCTAATTAGTGTGCTGCTGTGCGGCCATGGAGAAATTGGTTTCTATCCAATTCAGTTCCCTATGACAGCTTATACATAACTTAACTATATGATCATGTTTCCCCCTCTCTCTTTGGGCGCCGTTCGGCTGGTGCAAAAACCAGCTGGAATTCATTGTTCACGGATGAAATTCACTGTTCACGCTCTTGCAAATTCATTCAGATTCCTCTAAATTTCTCCCAGCGAACAGGCCCTTGGTCGGGACATGTCATTCACTATGCTTGCAGAAAGGAACTCTCAAACGAAAAGCGGAAACAGCTTTTTGAAGCTCTAGTTCGGAGATGTATGAGTACTAAATGGAGATGGATTGACACAAGAAATTGTTGAAGAGGTCGCTGGAGCATTCACCGTTAGTACCCGAACAGTTAAGCGTATATGGCAATGTGCGAGACAAAAGTTTTAAACATGGTTCGAACAGTCAGGAATGCCTTGCTTCGTATCTGTTCAGGAGTCATCTTTCTGAAACATATGACGTTGAACCACTATCGTTTTTTGCTGAAAAGAGTATCAAGGTTGTACGTACTCCCCCGTCCCCAAATAAATTAATTTCTAAAATTCATGCAAGTCAAACTATCTTAAATTTGATTAGCTTTATAGGAAAAAGTAACCACATCTATAACATAAAATAAGAACATTATGAAAATATATTCTATAATATATGTAATGATACTAATTTGATGTCATAAATCTTGACGTGTTTTTCTAGAAATTCAGTCAAAGTTTAAAAGTTTGACTTAAGACAATTCTAGGAATTTATTTATTCAGAGATAGATGGAGTATATACTTCATGTAAATGTGTGCTGCTACTGGTGCATGTCATTTAGGGAAAACTTAGTCGAAGTAATGAACTGCCATGTAAATATCTGTTGCTAATGTTGCCCTGCTTCAAGTGGTGAAGAGCCATTTTTTTTCTGAGCTTGTCCTCTCCCTTTTAAAATGCTCATTATTTAATTATATATTTATATGTAATTGATGGGTAAGCTGGACCCTACCAAGGGTAAAATTGGAAATGAAATCTTGGGAAGCGTGTAGTGCCAAGTATTAGAAAATTTAAAAGTGGTCAAAAGTGACAAGTATTTTGAGACGGAGGTTAGTATATGCAACATCACTTTTTCATTTGACATGATTTTAGCATATTGTTCCACTTGATATTGGATTGGCAATGGTTGGAAAGTTTGACTGCATGGGATTTTGCAAAAAAGTGGTAGAACAATGAGTGTGATGCTATTTAGACATACTTTCAAGTTCTGCAGTGTATTTCAGTTTAAGTTCTTAATTCTAGATGGGAACCAACTAGTGGTGGCCATTGTTGTCGATGTCATTAAGTAAAGATATGAGAAAAAAAACATGTGAGCAGCTTCAGAAAATTACCACTTGGAGTTCTTATGCTTGGTGACAAATTCCTGAATGTCACTTAAAAATTACTTTCTTCAGATTAGTCATAAATTTTCCACTTGGATATATTGAGCATTGTTTCGAATGACTAGTGCGACTCGCCCTAATTGAACCACGACCCTTTTAGTTCAGCAGTTAGTAAATTGAAACTCTTATACTAGTTAGATCTATAAATATTTGTATTTTTTATAAATGTGCTGCAAAATTGAAAAAAATGAGACCATGTCATCATACATATATGTAGCATTCAGTTATGAGCTTTAGGTCATGCAGGGATTTCTTTTTTACCTGTTGCTGATCATTACAATTAAGTTCTCATATATTCAGATTTGCTCCTGACATGCATCGATTCGTGACTGTCTAACATGCAGGGTCAAATAGTTACTCTTGCCATGTTCAGCTTAGAACCTATCCTCTTTGCTAATGCAATTTGTGGTGGCTACTGAATTGTTCAATGACACATAACCACCTCTATTAATAGGGATGAAAACGATCGGAAACGATCGATAGGAGACCAAATCACTTTCATTTTCACATTTTTTTTCGAAAACAAAATCGATACGATATTGTCGGAAATGAATATGGCAACGATATTCCGGTAATTTCGAAAACGATAGTAGTCGATCAGAAAATACATCGATAATCATTGGAATCCATGAGAACGATATCCTCGAAAAACGATAAACACGCCAAACTGTAGCACATGAGAAGAGCCATAAAACTCGACCTATCTCACATGACAATAGTTATAAATAAAGCCACAATTGACAAGACTATAAGCTAAAACCACAGTTCACACTATCTTAGGTCTCAAACAAGCTAAACCTCAGAGTTAGGGTGCAGTACGTGATTGACTTATTGCCTTGTTATTCATATACGGATGAAATATTTGCCGTATAGTTCCTCAAAAAAATATTTGCTTTATGTACTTGTGTGTGCAGATGGATTGCTTAAATGTGGGCCAACTGGACCTAAAGTATATGCATTATATAGTCTATAAATAAATTAGGATTCAAGGCCTTTGAATCGATAACTACCAACGGTAAATTACCGGCTAAATATGGCAATCTTCGAAAACGGTCAAAAGAGGGCAAAATTGTTTTTTCGTTTTCGTTTCCGATTATTTTTATCGTTTTCGTTTTCATTTTTTCGATTATCACTACCATTTCCGTTTAGGCTTGAAAACCAGAAAAAACACGAAAACGATTTCCAAAAATCAGAAGTTATCATTTTTGTTTTCATCCCTATCTATTAATATGTGTTTCAGTGATATGTGTCCTTGAGCTATCAGCGGGGGAACCACTTCACCTGCATGGACTATCAAATGCTTCCCTTGTGCCTTGTACAGTGCTTCAGTTAGAAGTTTGTAGATCAGTTTTTTAGAGGAAAAAAAAAGCCTTGCAGGTAGTATAGCTCTTGGCCTTAGGTGAAAGATAGAGATTTGATGTGTACTGATTAGTAATTGCTACATCCAATTTGGTGTTATCAAATGAGTCAGTGGACTCTAAAATCAATCAAATAGCTACTCTAGGAGTCTAGGCTTACCCTATATTCGGCTTGTTCGGCTTCTTTTTTCAGCCGGAACAGTGTTTTTCTCTCACAACAATTCAGCCGGAACAGTGTTTTCAGCCAAGTTTTAGACCAGCGAACGGGGCACGCCTGCATGCTACGTTCTGACAGAATGATTTCTCTGGATCTGCATTACTACAGATGATGCACTTGCGATGATTTGGGGTTTGTGAAATTCCAAGCACTGGTTCTTTCCTATGATGACATGGGCTGGGTTGCAGAAGACTTGGAGCTCATATTGCCTTTCTCTCATACAACGATTCACAAGGATTACATGGTAGAAACATAGATAGTTTTCGTTCATTTTGCTTTTCTCCTATTTGTTCTCTCTACTCTGCCTGTATCCACAGCAACATTGCAACATCACTTTGAGAACCATGTTGAAGAGTTAGTTGTACAATGCTCTGGTTTGAGAAATGGTTATTAAAATCTGCCTTTTTTTTGGCAGAGGATCTAATCAGGACCTTTTCCCTTTTTCTGGATTCTGGGTGCAATCTTGGAGATTTCACTTGCATCGTTATGATACTTTTTCCCCCTTTTAGATGCAATTCTTAGCATGCTAAATTGTTCCCAATTACATGAGCATGCTGTTTAAAACAAATTAAAACCCAAAATGAAAAGTAAACTCTAAATATAATGCGTATACAGGACCACATGTTTGAAGTGCCTTGTAAGTGTTGATATATGAAGTTTGAGTTTCCATTACTGGTAATTCTATTTTTGATCAGATGTGCTGTTCCATGTGCCCCTTTTTTTAGTTCTCTCGCTCCTACATTGACTAGAAACTTATGTCTTCATAGTTGCTCTTGCAACAGCTATAAAATTTTGTATTTATAAGTTCTGAGAGAGTTCTGCAAGACTGCAAGTTATCATGCCCAAGAGAGAAAGCAGAGTTGTAGATCTGGTAGCATTGATTTGAAGAATGACGAAGGTGGCATAGAAATGTGTTGTTTAATTCGAACATGAGCACAGCATTGCCATTAGCGGAGCGGTTCAAACCCCAGCATGAATAAGGCACGCTAATTGCGATCCCTATTGCAAGAGATCGATAAGACCAATCAACGTGACACAGGTATATTTAAATGGAAAGCACCGAACAGCACGACTGATTTAAGCTAATTAAGATCCAAACAGCGGTTAACACCTGGTTAGCCACTTGCATAACACAACTCGATCAATCTCTACTACAATGGGCACACACACTAGGTTAAATAATGCACGCAGCAGCTTCGTCACAACACGCTGCACAAATACACAGGACCATTTTCCGTGAGATGAACACCTAACTTTCAACCAAAGGTTGAACACAGACACGATACACTAACAAACGAACCACGAGCTCCCATATGTCAGTGCTCCCTTGGTCTTCCGCTGATGGGCTGCAGCGCTCGCCTTGATGAGTCCTTACCATCAGCATTCGGCTTGACAGGATGGCCAGCTTTAACAGCAGGTGTGTTCTCTATGTTCCTGAGCAGCACGATTGCAGATTGACTCATGCTGTCCCTAGGCTTCGGACGAGGGGCGCTCATAGCGATGTAGCTTCCTTTTACGGTGCTGGAAACTTTGAAACCCTGCAGCTTAGCACGGAGTTCATCTATACCAAAAAAAAACATCAGTGAGAAATTGAGCAACACATCATGTCGAAAGATATGAACAAGTCAGGACCAATATCATACCTATTGAACCCAAGTCATTGTTCTGAAAATATGCAGATTGTTCAGATCTTGGAGCAGGAAGATCATTTGGGTGATTATCTTCATTGCCCTCCAGCTTATTGTTAAGCCGCTCATCTGGAACTGGCAACACTGATGCTTCTGCAGTAGGGATCAGACCTATTTCCATTTCTGACTGTTCAATCTCTACAGCTTCAGGCACACTGCTAGACGGGATACCAGGAGGGGTTTGGTCTTCATTATTTTGATTGTATTCCTCATGATCCTGATAGAGCGGTTCAATATTACAAGTCACTTGCATACTGGTGCTTTCATTCACATGCTGCTGGCAAGGCCCTGACATAGTAAAAGCTAGAATGAGAGAATACACAGAAGAAAATTTTACAGATAACTTTGTTAAAGTCTATGTATGAGTCAAGATTCAATAATATATAAGAACGAAATCATTATAACTAACCTGATCCTGAAAGACTCGCACACTGAAATTTCGCGGATTCTTCAGGAGATTTAGGTGAAGAAAGGACTTCTGGGACCTCCTGTTTCTGGCAAGAGTCTATATGGAAGTCTTTGGGCAATGGGTACAGATCCCTTTTTGCTGGCCCAGTACAGAAATTTTCAATTGTGTCTTTATCACAGCTAAAGCTGAGTTCCTCACTTTCATCACTCATCTTAGTGTTAAGCTGCTCACCAGGTATTTTTGACATTCCAGCAACCAAGGGCACCATCATTGAACTTCCTATTCCTTCAATTGGTGCATCTTCAGTCATGTTTTCAACAAGGGCTTTTGGACTGAATTTACCTTCATTAGGTTCGTTGCACTCTTTATGATCTTGATGGACCACTTCGGTACCACAACTAAATAGCCTGGAGTTTGCTTCAATTAAATGTTTCTGGCTGCGAGATTGACAAATTCCTAACAGAAGAGAATTAATCATGAGGCCATACACAAATAAAATCTATTGCTCCGCCCAGTGCCAAATAAGTGTTGTCTTTGGTTGCATGCAGTTAAACCATCCAAACTTCGGTAATCAATACCTTTTAACATTTTGGGTTTCAACACATAAAATTTATTTGAATAGTTTTGTCTGAAAGTAGTTTGGAAGTATAATGGTTCTTATATTTTCTATGCTTGACAAATTACAATATAAACTAGAAGTCAAAATTCCCTTTAGTGGACCCTGGACTATGCCAAACAATACAGATATCAACAAAGCATCTTTCCCTCAGCGAGCAAACAAGTTCAGGCTTACCATGTCCATTGGAGTATGATTTTTCTTGGAGGATATCACTATCTGAAGTAGGCATAGACTTTGTTTCCACTTTCTCCTCACAAAGCACTTCCACGGCGGCAACAATATCCCTGTGGTACAGTGATTGTCTGATTGCAAGGTCAAAAAGACTAAAGGAGAGACCACATATGGTTCATAACATTTGCAGCTTTAGTAATGCAAAACAAAATTACCTTTCAATAAGATGGGCATCATCAGCCAAATCAATCTGGACTGATGTAAGTGAACCTTTCATGTGGCTAGACCTCAAGAACCCTAGGTAAAACAGTATCATTCAGTTATTTCTATGTGAGTTATGAGGATTAGACAGGATGATGTTGCACGACATGAAGACTTAATAAATGAGAAGTTTGATAGCACACAAATAAAATTTACCTCCACTCTCTTTGACTTGCATGGGAACAGACACGCAACTCTCTCTTTCTTCATGTCTGCTGAGATCTCGACAAGGACCTTGGTATGTATCAGGTTCAGAAGAAACATGTGTGTCAACTAGTCTCTCAACATGGCAAATAATACGTTCATCCCTTCCGCTCTCAGCACCTGGAAATGCAAGATTATCTTGCAGATCAGACTTTTCAGTACTTCCCTCCGAGAAAAGAGACTGCAGGTCCATGACTAAGTGTCTGGGATCTACTGAGCTAGTTCCAGTATAATTATTCATTCTGCACACTGCTTCCTCAGACAAAGCACCTTCATATTTATAATCAGGAGTTGCTAAACTTGTTGAAGGATTCCCAATTCCTGATACATCATTTTAAAAAATACACATTAATTGATAACTAATAGTTTAAGACGGCTTCAGGTTCATAAATCACATGAAGTTACTAACCTGCTACACCAGAAAAAATTGTCTTCCCAAATATAGTGCCTTGAAGAGATGATTCCACTGAGAAGCCATCTGAAAGCTCTTGTCGTGGGTAATGATCCTTAGGATAATCTTCTGGTAAACCAGAACCAGATGGAGTTCTTTCACCAACAACGGCCACAATAGATCCATTGTCTGAAGTATTACAAACATCTTTATCACAGTTAAGGCCAGATACTATAATGTTTGGGCTTTCCAGCTTGGGGTTAAGCTGCCCATCATTCAAATTAGACCTCTCTTCAGATGGGGGCAGCACCTGTCCGCTTTCTATGCACTTGGGAGTAGCAGCAGCCTCAACAATATCATTTGTGCAGGGTTCAGAAGCAACTTGCTCTACCCTATCCACATTGGATCGATCTTTATGATTGTGACCCTGACGCAGCATTTCAGTATTGGAACACCCAATCAGTTCATCCAAGTGAGACAGATCAGAGCTATGGTGTACTTTAACCCGTTGTTCAACATTGATTGATTCACTATCTAAAATGTTACCAATATCCTTATTGAAGTAAAGACCAGATTCCACAACTTTTGCTCCCTCCAACTTGGAGTTAAGTTCCCCATCTTTTAAATTTGATCTTTCTTTACCTGAGAGTAGTACAATTCCCCTTTCTATGTACTTGGCAGAGGCATCCTCAATAATATCTTCTGTGTCATCACTGCACTGATCATTATGACCCTGATGCAGCACGTCAGTATTGGAACCCAAACATATCTCATAGTTGTCACTGTCAGGAGTGTGCAGTGCACTGCTCAGTACAGCATCAGTAATACCATGTGCATTGCCATCTGCAGTAGGTTATGTATAAAAAATATAGTCAAATCTAAAATATATCCAAGCATGCTTTTAGTCTTGAGAGACCACTAATTTTCTGTATAAAGAACAAAGGTCTAGAACTGTAGAATCAATAAAGGATGTACCTGGCCCATTGACATTTGTTTTCTCAGATGAAGCTTTAAGCTCTTCAGAATGGACAAACTTCTTACTTCCTTCACCCTCACAAGCCACTTCCTCAAAATTAATGACCCTACAAAATTGGTTTCCCATCTTAAAATAATCAAACACATACCATTCCCATTACATATGAACTTTTAGTGGTACGACGAAAAAATATGCTTACTCCTTTATGTGCTTTGCATCCAATGAAAAGACTGACAGGACCCGTTCTTCATCAAGGTTAGCCTCTGGTAATCCTAAAAAATGAACAGTTCTTATGGGTACCACTTAAATGGCAGGAAATACCTCATTTCTATAGGTTTGGAGGAATCCAAGGAAATTACGAAGGGGGGTACTATAGAAGAGGGGAAAAAGTGTGATGTCTATACCTTCCATTCCAATATCTTGCAGGGATGTTCGCATACAATCATCATTTTTGGAAATATCATCGTGTGAAAAAGGTTCTGACACATGAGTATTTTCGAGTGCAGATTTCACATGGCAACCTTTTGAATCATCAAATCCATTTTCAGTATGAGCTGTTGCAGAAGCAAGTGCACCATACCCCACGGATTTATCTATGCTTTCCTGCAAGAACAAAGACTCCAGGCCAAATGGTGATTGTCCTGCACTTGGTAGAGGTCCCGTGTTCCTTGAGGGCAATACTGTTTCCTCAGGCAAATCACACTCATGCTTACACTCTGGTTTTGCTGAACATAGTGAAGGTTTCTCGAGGTCACCTGGGACACATTTATACATTATTTGCAAACAACACTTAACCCGATAGTACAACTGGAACTGATACACTCACTATTTACTTATCCAGCCACCATAAAATGGATGCTTACCTTCTTGCCAATCGCCCTGTTGCACCTGAATTATAGCCTGTTGATTAAGAATATCTGCAACAAGCCTTCCGTTCTTTTCAGTAATGCTACAACCTGATTCTGTACCAGGACTAGCAAGTTCATCGTTTAACTTCATGTTTAGGTCAGTCTTGGCAGGAATATGCTGATCATTACTTTTCTCCTGAGCTAAAACTTCTGAGAAAGGGGAAAGGATACATTACAAATTAAAAAAATATAAGTGACCAATTAATATCAGAAACTCTTATGTAGGATTCATACCTTCTGCGACACCCTCATCAACATCAAGTTTCTTGTCAGCATCACATTCAGTAGGTTGCACATCATCTTCCAGACAATCAGATCGCACATAGAAACCAGGTGTTACAGGGGTGCTAGGTTTGTTTCCACCATCAATATCTACAGCAGTGTTTCCACCATCAAATGTGATGTCTATACCTGCCATTATATGATATTTCTGGGATGTATGCATACGATCATCATTTTTGGAAATACCTTCATGGTGTGAAAAAGGTTCTGACACAAGAGTATTTTCGAGTGCAGACTTGACATGGCAATCTTTTGAATCATCAAATCCATTTTTAGTATGAGCTGTCGCAAATCTCATAGATTCATCTATGTTTTCCTGTGAGAACAAAGACTCCAGGCCAAATGGTGATTGTTCTGCACTTGATAGAGATCCCGTGTTCTTTGGGGGCAATACTGTTTCCTCAGGCAAACCACATTTATGTTTACACTCTGGTGTTGTTGAACATGGTGAAGGTTTCTTGAGGTCACCTGAGACACATTTATGTATTATTCTCAAACAACACTTAGCCCGATAGTACAACTGGAACTGATACACTCACTATCCACTTATCCAGCTATCATAGAAATGGATGCTTACCTTCTTGCACATCACCATGTTGGACCAGAATTATAGCTTGTTCATCAAGATTATCTGCAACAAACCTTGTGTTCTTTTCAGTAATGCTACAACTTGATTCCGTACCAGGACCAGAAAGTTCATTGTTTAACTTCATGTTTAGGTCAGTCTTGGCAGGAACATGCTGATCATTACTTTTCTCTTGAGCTTCTGCTGACAAAGGGGAAAGGATACATTAAAAAAAATATAAGTGGCCAATTAATATCAGAAGCTGTTATGAAGGATTCATACCTTCTACGACACCTTCATCATCATCAAGTTTCTTGTCAGCATCACATTCAGTAGGTTGCACATCCTCATCTTCCAGACGATCAGATTGCACATAGAAACCAGGTGTCACAGGGGTGCTAGGTTTGTTTCCACCATCAATTTCTACAGCACTGTTTTCTGCATTTCTGGAATAGCTTTCTTTGCACTCTTCTGCAAACATTAACTCAAGATCAAATGACGAAGGTCTTCCATCTGATGAACATCCCTTATCAGCATTCACTACTGGAAGACTAGTATCGTCAGCAGCACCTTCCAAGTGCAGACTTGTCGAAAGAGGGTTCCCTATGCTGCGCCTGCTGGGACATTTCCCCAGATCAGCAGCTCGAATGCTTTCTTCAGCAACTGCATTGCAGACAATTTCTGGATTAGTATCTGATTCTGATATTAGCAAGGCAGCTTCAGAAACTGATGAATCGTACGATAGCATTAGAAAATGACAAAGACCACTGGCCAAATTTTTTCTCAGTCAGCAAGGCAATGCATTGTCGAAGAGTTACACAAGAACCAGATGTTGTGTTCAGAATAGAAAAAATAAATAGCTCAGATAGTATAAGAGAACAAATGATAATAAACCATAGGCCTAGCTGTGTCTACTGTCAACTGAGTTCAATATGCACTAGCCATGTGTCTACTGTCAACTGAGTTCAGGATTCTTCAGTGGTTACCCATTTCGATATTTCAATTTTGCTCCATTGGAGATAGTTAACATGGTTTTAGCAGTAGCACAGCGCCACTAACGCATCTGAACACATGACACAATTTTGCATATTTTTCTCTATGCTCTTCAATAGTGAGAGCCATTGGCAAAACATCTGAAGATTATGCAAGTTTACTATAGTGAATTGAAAAATCATGCAACAAGATTAAGAAGTAGTACAGATCTTTTGAAAAAAAAAACAGTGAAGAAATTATATGGCAGGTTTTGAACTTCCAATGAAATTGAAAATGCAAGTACCAATCAACTGGCACAGGTGAATTCATATGTTTAACAGACATTATCTTCCAAATCAGTAAGTAGTTATGGATACAGGATCAATTTGGTTGTACCTTTACCAGTCTCTTCAGCTATTATGTCAGTATCATGTTGCAGACTTTTGGCGTAGAGACCAGTGGACATGATATCAGCTAGGTTCTTTTCCCCAGACTCACTTGCATTTGCTTCCAAGCCAACTCTCCCTTCTCCGGATATAGGGCTTCGCTCTTCACAATCTCCAACAGTATTTTCTATATTTTTGGAATAGCTTTCTTTGCATGCTTCTACAAACAGAAGCTCAAGACCAAATGACGAAGGTCTTCCATCTGATGAACATCCCTTATCAGCATTCAGCACTGGAAGAATACAATCATCAGCAGCACCTTCCAATTGCAGACTTGTCGAATAAGGGTTCCCATTGCTGACCCTGCTGGGGCATTTCCCCAGATCAGCAGCTCGAATGCTTTCTTCAGCATTACATTGAATTTCTGGATTAGTGTCTGATTCTGATATTGGTGGGGCAGCTCCAGAAGCTGATCAATAGTATGATAGTATTAGCAAATGACAAAGGTCATTAGTGAAGAGTTACACAAGAACCAAAAGTTGTGTTCAGAATAGAAAAAATTAAATAGGTCAGATAGTTATGAGACAACAAATGATAATGGAACCTAGGCCTAGCTGTTGCAGATAGAAGAAACAGAAAGGCTATTAAAAATAATTAGAAATACATGTACCCTCAATTTGACATAGATGAACTCAGTACTCCCTCCGTTCCAAATTATAAGTTGCTTTGACTTTTTTGGTACATATATTTTGCTATGTATCTAGATATAACATATGGCTAGATACATAGCAAAATGGATGTACCAAAAAAGTCAAAGCGACTTGTAGTTTGGAACGGAGGGAGTATGTTTCAAATTGGTAAATGAAACACAGTGCAGACGACACAACTTTTCATCATCATCTCCCAGATCCGTAACAAGTTGTGGAACAAGTATTAAGGCAATATTACCTTCACCAGTCTCTTTAGTTAGCACATCAGAATCATGTTGCAGATGTTTGGTGTGGAGATCGTTAGAAAAGATGCCAGTTAGAGGTTTTCCTGCAGATTCACATGCACTTGCTTCCGAACTGACGCTCTTTTTAACAGCTACAGGGCTCACTGCATATTTTTCTCCATGCTCTTCAATAGGGAAAGCCATAGGCAAAACATCTGGACATTTTGCAAGTTTAATGTAGTGAATTGAAAGTCATGCAACAAGATCAGTAAGTAGTACAAGATCTTTAGAAAAAAACAGTGAAGAAATTATATGGCAGGTTTTGAGTTTTGACCTTCCAATAAAATTGAAAATGCAAGTACCCATTAACTGGCACAGGTGAATTCAGATGTTTAACATACATATTATCTTCTAAATCAGTAGGAGTAAGTAGTTATGGATACAGGATTAGTCCAGTTGTACCTTTATCAGTCTCTTCACCTATTATGTCAGTATCATGTTGCAGACTTTTGGCGTAGAGACCAGTAGACATGATATCAGCAATGTTCTTTTCCCCAGACTTGCTTGCATTTGCTTCCAAGCCAACTCTCCCTTCTCCGGATATAGGGCTTTGCTCTTCACAATCTCCAACAGTATTTACTATATTTTTGGAATAGCTTTCTTCGCACGCTTCTGCAAACAGAAACTCAAGACCAAATGACGAAGGTCTTCCATCTGATGAACATCCCTTATCACCATTCAGTACTGGAAGAATACAATCATCAGCAGCACTTTCCAAGGGCAGACTTGTCAAATAAGGGTTCCCTTTGCTGACCCTGCTGGGACATTTCCCAAGATCAGCAGCTCGAATGCTTTCTTCAGCATTACATTGAATTTCTGCATTAGTATCTGATTCTGATATTGGTAGGGCAGCTCCAGAAGCTGATCAATAGTATGATAGTATTAGCAAATGACAAAGGTCGTTAGTGAAGAGTTACACAAGAACCAAAGGTTGTGTTCAGAATAGAAAAAATAAATAGGTCAGATAGTTATAAGACAACAAATGATAATGGAACATAGGCCTAGCTGTTGCAGATAGAAGAAACAGAAAGCCTATTAAAAATAATTAGAAATACAAGTACCCTCAATTTGACATAGATGACTCAGTATGTTTCAAATTGGTAAATGAAACACAGTGCAGACGACACAACTTTTCATCATCATCTCAGAGATCCGTAACAAGCTGTGGAACAAGTATTAATGCAATATTACCTTCACCAGTCTCTTTAGTTAGCACATCAGAATCATGTTGCAGATGTTTGGTGTGGAGATCGTTAGAAAAGATGCCAGTTAGAGGTTTTCCTGCAGATTCACATGCACTTGCTTCCGAACTGACGCTCTTTTCAACAGCTACAGGGCTCACTGCATATTTTTCTCCATGCTCTTCAATAAGGAAAGCCATAGGCAAAACATCTGGAGATTTTGCAAGTTTAATGTAGTGAATTGAAAATCATGCAACAAGATCAGTAAGTAGTACAAGCTCTTTAGAAAAAACAGTGAAAAATTATATGGCAGGTTTTGACTTTTGACCTTCCAATAAAATTGAAAATGCATGTACCAATTAGCTGGCACAGGTGAATTCAGATGTTTAACATACATATTATCTTCTAAATCAGTAAGTAGTTATGGATATAGGATTAATCCAGTTGTACCTTTATCAGTCTTTTCAGCTATTATGTCAGTATCATGTTGCAGACTTTTGGCATGGAGACCAGTGGACTTGACGTTAGCAAGGTTCTGTTGCCCAGGCTCGCTGGCATTTGCTTCCAAACCAACTCTCCCTTCTCCGGATACAGGGCTTTGCTCTTCACGATCTCCAACAGTGAAATCAATTGATAAACCATCTGGTGATTTTGCAATGACAAAGGCTGCCTTTCAGTATATAACAAGACAGTAATGGGCAAAGCTAATTACAACATCACAAAATCAATAAGGTGGTTATATGCCATCTGGTGATTTTGCAATGACAAAGGCTGCCTTTCAGTATATAACAAGACAGTAATGGGCAAAGCTAATTACAACATCACAAAATCAATAAGGTAGTTATATGCCATCTGGTGATTTTGCAATGACAAAGGTTGCCTTTCAGTATATAACAAGACAGTAATGGGCAAAGCTAATTACAACATCACAAAATCAATAAGGTAGTTAGATGCCAGCTTTTGAGCATACAAAGAAGATCAATAAAATATAATTGTGGTGATGATTGTCTACAACAGATAAATTGGACATAGCTAAAGCCTATAAATTTGGCAATGCAGAAATAAATTACCTAGCATGTCATTAGCACCCATGTTAACCTCACCTTTGCTCATCAATGATTTGTCCTCTGAGACATCAAAATTGTGTAGAACTAGTCCAGCGATGCAAGATGATTGGTCTAATTCCCCACTTGTTTCAGATAAATGGCTATCAACAGCCTGAATGTCAGAATGTTCCTGCTTACTCTTATCTGAACTTTCGTTTGAATTGTCACCAGATTCTGACCCAGGTATCACCACACGTACACTCTGCGCTGTGGAAATTTCTTCAGTGAGTGTCACTGTTACAAGCAATGGTCCTGAAGAGTGTTCTTCTCTTGTGGCATTAACCTGACCAAATTCTTGAACTCTGCTACCAGACTCCTTATTCTCATGAGTAGCTTTGTGTGCATCCTTTGTTGCTTCCCTGATAATTATGTCATCATTTGCCTCCTTGACAGACCTCACTTCTTCTGAAGCAGTTGTCCGTCTCCTCTTTGAAGACCTTCCCTTTAAAGTTGTGGAATTTGATGCCTGCAGTGTTCCCCCTGTGTTACCCTTTTCATTTGAGATTTGTGCGTTCTGCTGCCTCCTGAACTTCTGTCCATCAAAATCCTCCATCTTCCTGGAATCATTAGCTGAAGAGGATATTTCCAGCGAAGAAATTTTGTGCTTCCTCAATTTCAAGCCCTCTTCACCAACTCTTTCTGGTTCCCGTGCAACTATTTCAGTGTCATTCATGCTCACTTTTTCAACTTCATTAAGAGCAACAGATTTACGTGTTGATCTCCTCATAGGAATTTTTGATATTTTTTCCTCATAAAGACCATTATTTTGTTCCTCAAACGGCACTGCAACCACAGACCGCCTTGATCGCCTAATAGGTTCCTTTACTTTCTGTTGCCTCTCATCATCTTGACATTTACCACTTTGAAAGTTCTCATTTCTGGCAATTTTATTGTGATTTTGGTTCTCCTCATTAAGCATATTAGGAAGAACAGACTTCCGTGTTGATCTCCTAACATTCATCTCAGCATTCATTTCTGCTGCTAGAAGTCCACTATTGTTCTCAAGTATATCAGGCAGAACAGATTTGCGTGATGAGCGCCTAGTAGGTTGCTTCACAACAAATTGCTTCTCCACATCTTTGCCCTTAGCATTTTGAATTTCTTCAACAACAGCTTTAATATCTTTAACTGGCACTACAGGTTTCCGCATTGATCTCCCTTCATGTGCTTCCGTATTCTTTTCTGCAATGAGACCCTTCTCTTTCTTATGCAATTCTGAGACAACGGATTTACGTCTCGATCCCCTAACAGGTCCTTTAGTTGCTGCTTGCTTCACCGCATCTTCACTGTTAGCATTTTGAATCTTTTCACCAATACCTTTGATATCTTTAACCGGCACAATTGATTTCATCATTGATCTCCTAACATGTGCTTCAGGGTTCTTTTCTTCAATTAGATCATTCTCCTCTTTCTCAAGTGTAGCTAGGACAACAGATTTACGTGTTGATCGCTTAACCGGATCTTTAACTTTTGGCTGCTTCTCAGCATCTTCAGAATGATTTCTCCCTGATCGCCTCAATATGGGAGCCTTATTGGGAGCAGCAGTTTGTTCTTGATTTTTGTCCTCCACAGAAGATGAAACCTGTTGATGCCTACGAGTAGGTGGCCTACTGGGTTGCATCTTGTTTTCCAGCTGCCTGGCAGTGTGAGTTTCGTCCACCATACTGTTGTTAACCTGGACAACTCTGCTCCTCAAAGACCTGGTGACAGGAGCATCATTTCTAGGCACATCTAAGACTGTAGGCAGCTCTAAATTTGTTCGTGCATCTCCGGTCTTCCTCCTCTTGTTCTCAACGACAGTGGGTGACATTACAACAGGTGCTGTTGCACGAGATCTTGTAATCCTAGCTGATACGTCCACCTGAGCCGAATTCTGCACATCAGGCTCACTGTCTTGAACCTCAGCAACAAGTTTATTACTACCACCAGCTGCTTTTCCCCTCCCTCTCTTCTTCTCAACAACAGGAGGCAACACAACACCAACCCCCGCCAAACTTGACCTTCTCATCACTCTAGACGAAACCCCAACCTGAGCACTGATAGCGACACTCTCATCATTCTCCTGGTTCTTGCGCTTGCGCTTCCTATCAACAGCAACAGCCTCTCCTGCTTCCTCAGCCTCGGCAGCACACACCGAATTCCTCCTGGACCGCCTCACCGGGACATCTGCGACCACCTCTGCAGAAATACTATCTTCAGCAGCAGCAGCAGAGTCAGTACGGGCTTGAGCAGACTTTCCCCTTGTCTTGGGGGCAATCGGCGACCAGATGACCCGAGACCTCAGTCTCCTTGCCTTCCCTTCCTCCACCGCAAAAGTAACCTTCTTCGCCTCGGCAGCATCTCCATCTGTTTGCTTCAGACACCCCTTCCTCGCCGGCACTCCGGCCACCTCCTCCTCCGCACTAGCGGTCCCCTACAACAACAAGGGAAATCAACCCAACAGCAGCATTAGAAGGAGCAGTACCGCGAAACATTTTCATAGAAAAAAAAAACAAATCGAACGTGTGGAGCATTTCCACGAGCACTTGGCGGCTCGACGAGGATTACTGCCTTACGGGGTAGCGCGTGGTGTCCTCACCGAGAGCGCGGCTTCGAGACGAGCGACGAGGTCGGCGTTGGAGCCCCCGGCGGGGAAGGCCGTGCCGCTTGCAGAGCGCCTGGAGCTCCCGCCGCTTCATCCCCGCGAGATCCATCCCCGCGCACGCACCTCCAGCCCCGCGGGAGATCACCACGGCCTGGCCATCTCTTCCTCTCCGGCGGCTCCGGTGCGGATCCCGGTCTCGCCCGTTCGAATTGGCGGGCGGCGCGACAGGCGACGAACTGCTCCCCCTGTCTCGTACTGTTGTTGGACGGGACGGCGGCCGAGATGCCGTTTTTTGGGGAATTGAAGTGGGCGGTGGAGGTGTGCGTGGCGGCTCCTCGGGTGGGGGACCGAGGGCGCGTGCTCCTAATCCTCCTAGAGCGGTGGTTCGTACACTGACCGGTGGGGCCAGAGAGCGTGAGCGCGGTGGGGCCGCCGTGGCAGTGGGAGCGGTGCGGAAGCTTGTAGCGGAAGGAGGCGGCAGGTTTCGAATTTGGGAGTTCCCGCCGCCCACAGTGCGACGGCAGGTGAGCGGGCGCGCGGGAGCGTACTGCTGGGAATGGGAAGCGGTGTATAGCTGTTCCACTCCTATGTGGGGCCCGTAGAACGGAGAGGCACGGTCGGCCCCATGTGTCATTTGCCTGATAGTGCGAGAGTCTAGATGTACGTATATCTTCCTGTACGTATCGCTTTCCATTCCACCAGGGTGAAGGAGGCGGCAGGTTTCGAATTTGGGAGTTCCCGCCGCCCACAGTGCGACGGCAGGTGAGCGGGCGCGCGGGAGCGTACGGCTGGGAATGGGAAGCGGTGTATAGCTGTTCCACTCCTATGTGGGGCCCGTAGAACGGAGCGGCACGGTCGGCCCCATGTGTCATTTGCCTGATGGTGCGAGAGTCTAGATGTACGTATAACTTCCTGTACGTATCGCTTTCCATTCCACCAGGGTGAAAGTAGCGGATGAGCTTTCGAGGAAGGCTAATAATACAGCCGCTGGTTAAAAGGATTGTTACCACCTACTTTAATCCACTCGTATAATAGTTAGTTCTTCAGCATTAATATATGGTCTACTTATCTTTTTCACATAGTTTCTTAATTCTTGTGTCTAAACCGACTGTAAGCTTACAACCTACTCTCTCTTCTCTCTTCTCTCATCTACCTTAGCATTCAGGTTATTATACTTGCTCTTAGGGCGTCCCCAATAACAACTTGAAAATAGCTAGCTAGATAAGACTTAGAAATATATAAAAAAACACTGCAGTGGAGGGTTATGTGAGCTGTGAGAGAGTTATTTCTAAAAAATCATGTTAGACTAGTTATTTTAAAATCGCTAGCTATTTGAGCGCTCTATGTTTTATTGCTTAACAAGATGACGCGAACCATCATAGCATGAAAAAAAAACAGCCTTTAAATAAAATAAAAAGGCACAACAATATACCAGGAACATACTGTGTAACAACTCTATCAAAAACAAAAGTATACGAGCGTAAACATGCTCGATCTGTTACAGATTTAGACCATATGAGTGCATGGCCAATGCAGACACCTGAAAATTGCTATGCCAAAAATTTAGCAAGTAAAAATTGGATATAAAAATTATCATAGATTTGACAAGTTAAACATGAGAGGTTAGTAAGTTTTGGTAGCAAACTAAATAATAGTCAAAATCATGACTTGCCAAATCTTTGACTTAGACAATTTAAAAGTGAACCTAAAAAATTGTCATGCCAAAAATTAAGCAAGCAAAGGTTGGATAAAAATTTATCATAGATTTGGCACGTCAAATATGAGAGGTTAGCAAGTTTTATAGCAAACCAAATAGTTATCAAAATCATGACTTGCCAAATCTTTGACTCGGCAATTTAGTACCGAACCAATCAGGCTCATAGTAGCGGTGGCTTCATCCAAAAGTAGTAGGTCTAATAGGAATGAAAAACGTTAAGTTACTATCCATCCAACTCAAGCATGATTTTGTTGTCCCTACCACTCTCTCCTCTCCACTGTTTTACACACAATTTTTTTGTTTCCTGATTTTCTCTCACCTGAGGCTATTGTAGTTTCTGTAGGTACCACTGCCACTTATGTGCACCTACTTTTTTATCCGAGTCTAGTTAAAATAAAACTTGGTCTACGGGGGGAGGCGTCCCCCGAGCATTTAGCTTAAGGTAGGAGACACCTTTCATGTAGGCCAAGAAAATCCTTGAACCTCTGTTCGGGGCTTTTTCTATTCGTTTATGTTGAAATTTGGCTTATGCTAATACTTATGCTGAATGTTGTGAGAGAAAAACAATATTCCATAGCTGAAAAATAGTGCTGAATAAGCTCAAACGAACATGCAACAGACGAGGGAGTTTTTTTCTGCACAAACTACGCATAACTGCAGCCGTGTAGCACCCGGTTTGAAGAACAAAACCAGATACGCACCATATGTGAACCCAGAAAGTCAAATATCATATATAGCTATAAATAAGGATAATATCAAAAGACAATGCTCAATATATAACGTACTTAGTATAAAGGATATAACCTTAGACAACAAACAGTGGAAAGACAACTCCGATATTCGGGTGAAGACTCCAATCCACAGGGACAACTGACTGGTTAATCACAAGCCTAACTCCTCCAGACTAGCAATCTGGTATTCATCCGTGATTTTTCCAAAGATTTTAAAAGTAAAGCAAGCGTAAGTACATGTCGTACTCAATAAATATAGCATGGGGTTCATGAGGCTCAAAAGGCTGACACTAGTTTAACTGCGATTAGCTTTTAATGAGTCATGATTTTAAGCAGTTGAGTAGCATCAAATTTATCATAAGCCCGTATAAACACATGATCAGATAAATATGAATAATAAATAGCATAAACAGTAATCATTGGTTAGCATATTTATCATCAGTATCATCAATGTTCATCATCTATTCCGTAAGGGTCCAAGGCCACTCGTGACCGTGAGCACGGCTGATATACCAGTTTTACACTCTGCAGAGGTTGCAGACTTTTACTGTGAGTTGTAATTTACCCTTTCGCCCGAGGTAGTTAATCTCTTGATCCACTTCCGAAGAAGGTCGGCAGAGTTCACTATGAAGCCTTTCAAATATTCGTCTAACAAGTTAGGGCCATTAGATTCACTCGGCAAACAGATGTTGAGCCCCCTTCCCGATGGCACAATGACGCGCAGCCTATACACAAGGGGACAGAGGCCGCACTATACCCGATCCGACAAGCCATTCTTACACCAATAAAGATAACCACTAACAAATTAGAAAAGGTCCTTATACTGAGCTAAAGCCAGAACCATATAGCCCTCACAGTTGTACTATAAGTCTCGGATATTCGCTTACAGATAAGTCCTTAGGGAGAGGAATCTAGAGTACCATAAAAACAGCCCAATGCTCTAGCCCCTGGCCCCATGTTGCTAAAAAACATCTTTTAGTGTTTATTCCATATATCATTAGTCAAGTTATAAGATCATGGTCTTTAATTGAGCACTAGCATCGTACTAGCCAATGCATATCCCATAGGAGACATGGTATAAGTTTAATTTTAGGGAATCCCTATCAAGGTAACACATGCAATATGAATTAAATGTGTTAAAGTTGATATGAAACAAGGATGATCCTATGCTATACTTGCCTTAAACTTGCTTTTTAGTCAATATAGCCAACTCCTCAAAGATCCTTTGGTCTTCTATTCTGCAGCTTCTAGTCTCCAACGCTCACGTATGGTTCTCTTTTTACCCGTAGCAAATATCAAGCAACTCGAGCAAACATACAAGCAAACAACGTAGATTGAGAACAATACACCCAATAGGCAAAAAAGGCTTGAAAACAGCGTGCTAAAAGAGACGGCTCATTGCTACGATTACGAGAACGCAAGAGACACTAAGAAAAGAGCTACGATTAAAAGAAAACCACTATCGAAATATTTATATTATATTATAAAAGAAACAACTACCAGCTTGTTTTATGTTAGCTAAGAAAAACTATATGAGCAACATTAATTTAGATTAATCACAACATATTTAATTTTAAAAGTCGAGTTAAAGCTAATCATGTTTTATTTATAAATGTTATCACATAATTTATTAAACAAATTAAACTTTATCTTCGCAAAGGAAATAAGCATGTGAGAGCTCTACTCGTACTTATCACATATGTACCTTAGTTCAGCTAATCAAATTATATTCTAGAAACACTTTTAAGTTAACAATTAATCATATTAACTTTTAGGTATAAATTATTAAAGTTAAGCACCTATATTGCTTTTAATTCAAAACTAGTGTGCAAATATACTAATAAATTTAATATTTAGCTATATATGGAAAAACATGTTGACATGAAAAACATTGGCACTACCGTGTAGAGCACGACAATACAAAACTAACGCAACTTGAACAAACCTAATCAGAGTTTGGATGATAAAACGATGGAAGATTTAAGATGCAAGAGCTGAAACAGTATTATCTACACAGGAAGTTTGCTAATTATATGCAAGATGAGATAAGGCCCTGTGCACGTGATGAATATACCGGCAAAGGAAATTCTAGCTGTCCAAAAAGAAAACCAAAATATTGCACACGTATGATGAAGGGATGACATCAGCACAGTATTATATTTAGCTGATATAAAGCAATAGGGCAAAGGCATTAAAGAGACACCTGGCCAGATATATGCCTCAACGTCGGGGATGATCAGCGGCCAGCATGGCTTGCTCCTTCAGGGCCGACGGTTCTTACTGGGCATCTGCACGGACACGAACAGCTGATGATCGTATGGGAGCTCAACAGTGCGGAGGTCCTCACCGATGCCAGACGAGGAACAGCGATGTCGGCGTTGAAGCAGAGAGCGGCGAGATCGGGTTTCACAAGCAGGCTCCTCCAACTGATCGGCGATGCTGCATCACTGGGGCAATGGCAGTCATGAGGATGGAGATCGACAGATTGGCGTTGACAGATATTCAGCATGTAAATCACGTACGTGGACAGAGTCTCCATGGTTAGTGTACGTGATGAGAAGCAATAGCATCAGCAACCGGAGAAGCCAACAGACAAAGATAGACAAGAGCCCATCGTGCGGGTGTTTCTTATTACCAAAGCACGGCGACGATGAACTCGGA